AGGAGAACAAATAGAGGTCGTCGGGCGATATACCGGTTATTCATACATTCAGGCCAATCGACACCCTGCGGTGCAAGTCGATGGTGAGAAATGTATTTAGTCTAATCAAATGCAAAGGGAGTTAAGCATCACATATTTCAGAGGCAAGATTCCAAGTTGTAAGGATTGTTACGATTTATGGCAAAAAATGGACAATGATTTATAAAAAGTAGATATCCCCCAACCTACCTCGTTTGGCTCTGAAAGTGCCATAACCAACCCACAATCGGCTATTTTTTGTGCAAAATAGTTCTTGTCTTTCACTTCTGCTCCAAAGTCTGACAGGTGAGTGAGACTTGAATCCTTGGTAAAGGTCGTAATGCTACCAACAGAGCAATGCTAAAAAGTGGTTTTGTATTCATGAAAACTAAGTATGAAGCCATTAGTTCGAGCAAGTAAATAAACCAACGAACCGAGTGAAATAAATCAGAAGAATCGATCGTTTCGTCACATTCGAATTTCAGTGAGGAAGAGGTCTGACTTTTCTTCTTAGCTTTGTACTTACAAGGAGTTGCTCTGCTCAGAATAAGTCAAACGAATTAAAACTACCTCCTTTTAATAACATAATAATTTTTAGTGTAAATTCTCAGTCCGGGTTCTGAAAATGAAATATCGTTTCTACCGACGATCACAAGTATGAAAAGTCTTACTTCATGAAACTCCCGTCCGTTTGTTTTAACGACAGCCTTAAGCATTTTTCAACTGAAGGCTTTAAAGTAATCTCCAATTTAGACATATAAAATCTAACACTGCAAAGCTCACAACGTGAATTGTCTCCACAGTTGCATGTAAAGTCGGGAAATCTTTCAAGCTTATCATTAATCACATGAAAAAAATGGACCATTACTACTGCATTCGGCTGTGACAAATTTTCTTCGATGAGAGCCGGTCTAGAAAGGCTATTCTCTCCGAACGACTGATAACTTTCTCTAGTAGAAATTTTAGAAGGCACTGGTCTGACAATCAATAATAAATAGAGGTTTCATATCCATACTCTGAACCAAGAATTGGATAACTCTTCATTGCCGCCGCAGCTAAATTCAAACAGGCCGCTATAAACAGTTTAATGACCTAGAGAGCCTCTCATGCCTCTGGACACCACGAAGGGTGATAAATGCACATCATGTCTTTATGTAAGAATATTTAGATTATTTTAAAACAGTTTTAAGTGGCAAACT